CATATGCTCTGTGCTGCCTCTGGACATAGACCAAGAAATACAAAAAAGACTTGCTGCTTAATCGAAAATCAGCCTTATGCCGGAAAGAATCCTGAAGATGGCTAAAGAATGGCAAAAAAGTGTTTCAAGTGTTCCTTTAGAGCCACATTTCGCACCTTATATTCATGTATCTCTACTGCTGCCTTTTACTGTGAGCTGTTTCTTATGGCAAAAGTGTACTTTAGGGTTGCATACCAACATAGGGCGTAAATGGACATAGCCTTGACCTCTAACCCTGTGGATGCCGTGAAGACCTACAACTGGGGTTTGCCGGTGTGCAACCCTACTGCAAGTTCCATAGCATGTTTGCCAAAAAAGGAAAATGCCGATGTCAAGAACATTCATTGGAAATCTCGTAACCTCGCCAATACATTTCGATGATTCTGGCACATGGTGCATCTTGACTTCACTCCTTGGTGCATTGGTTAGGAACATCAGGGTTTCTACAGAGAATAACTTTTTTCGCTCTCAACCGTACATGGTGTATCATGCCATTACGGAAATCCTGGCACAAGCCAGCCCATGTTGAAGGCGGCGGCAGCAGCAGGTTGCTTACGGATAGCTCCGTTCTCCTGCAGCGAATAAAACTTAACTCATTTGACTGTAATCTTTTCTACTCCACTATTTGCTCTCTACCATCACCATGTTGCCAAGTAACTACACTTTGTTCTATTCAACCACACCTGAGAAGAAGGATGCGTTGCGTTTACGCGGCTGTTATGACACCATCGATGCAGGAGAAAACTTTGCACGAACCACTATATAGGGTCTACGTGAAGTATCCTAATATTATATTCAGCGCGGTGGAAAATATCGTGGACGATGATACAACAGTCATTGCTGGTATCATACCGAACCTCATGACCAAGGAATATACTGAAGGATTGCAATCGTTGATATGCGTACAGAGAAAAGTGCGAGAGTCATCATCAATGGCAGTGTTCAATATTGAACAGCGTGCTACGCAGCTCGGATGGAAGTTCAAGAGATCCAGAAGGTATCAAGTACAAATGGAACACTCCAATACAAGGTGCCAGATGGGAGCTGACTGATGGCAGCGGGTCTGCGTTGCAGCTTTACATTTGGAAAGCACAGACAAGGAACCCTAGAGGTTCTGCCAAACATGGACAGGCAATTATTTATCCTTGCTCGATCTCCCTGGTATTTAGCATCATTGCTGTTAGCAGGCAGGAAAAATATCCACATTTGTTAATCCCGGTATATCAATAAAGTCTGGTTTTAATCTTGACTAATTCCACATGCCGAACATATGTAGTCTTCACTGAACTATTATTTAACCAAATATCTTGGACACAGCACCAGCCTCAATAGCCCATATGTATCAAGGGGCACGCAGCAACATGTGCGGAACATGGCGTTGCCGCCTTGTCGACTGTACAACTACGTGCAATAGCGATCCTTTGGCGACAGCTGCTTCCGAGCAGGTTGTCAACCGCCTTTAGATTTGCAGCCCCAACCGTATGCAAGGCCAGAGATTCGAGAAACATGTGTGCATGCCAAGAACTTTTTTGCTTGCCAAGAACCTGTCAATACATGTTGTCACGTGTGGTCCCAATAGCGAACGGACTGTATTTAATTATATCAACGCCCAATTCATTGGGTGGTATCTACACATCAGCTACCTGCAATTCCAATATCGACAATTCCCGGCTATGGTCGAGTACACCTATTTCTGAGCAACAATCGCACCAATTGCTCCATCTACCATGGAGGATTTACTGACCTTGCTTCGGCACAGGCATCGGGCGAGCTGGCATACACCATTTTTCTTCGGCTTCCTCGTCTTATTATCAGCTCTCATAATCTGGATATATCCGATGATGCAACTGTTGTGCCTGGCATGCTGGTTCATTCTGATGGCAATACGGCTGTTGCTGACGTTAGTCAGGGCAATGGTAGGTCTGCTCAGGTTTCTGTTAAAGGAAAGAGCGTTAAAGTAGCGCAGCGGATTGCAGGCGTCGGCTGGAAGTTCACCGACCCTAATGGGACTAAATACAGATGGGAGGTCTTGCGCAAGGAGAAGCGCTGGGAGCTGCAAGGGCATCGAGGAAAGGCTGTTGCTACCTTTGACAGCAGGCAGTTTTGGAGTGACAACTATGCCAGCTTCATAGTGGACGAGGGTATGGATGAGGACCTACGCATGCTGGTCCTACTATCGTGGGCATTGAGTGCTAAAGCGATTTTTACGAGTAAGACTGTTCCTACAAACAGTGTAGGTGGAGGTGACGACACATTTACCAACGCCATGTGTTGGTGGGTTTTAATATACATCGTTTAACAGATGGTTTATCAGCCTTGTCAAGCACGACAGCTACATGAAGAGTATGACCTCCATACTAATGCATGGCATGTATAATTTGCTGTCAGCTTGATTATACACTGCTGTTGCGAACAGACGCCATCCTGTCAAAGGTACGCAGCCATATTCGCCAAGGGCTTGGCCACACATATTTCTATGCTACATTACTAATCAAAGTACGCTGTTTGCCGGTTGGTATTGTCTCGCCCGGATGTTGGGAACATGGCTTGTTACGAGAAATCAGTGGCGGCTGGTTCCAGAATGCAACACGCATGCACGCCAAGATGCTGTCAAAAAATTGGCCGATACGGACTCCGCATTGTGTGGGTCACATAAAATGTGCACGGGTGACAGGGCTTCACAAGTTAGACTAGCATCACCTTTTATCAACTGCATCTCCGTCTACGCACTTTTTGACTATGGCAATCGAGGAATACACGCTCTTCCTGGGCGACAATCGCAGAAACTGCTCTGTTTACTCTGGCCGCTTTAACAGCATCGAATCCGCACGGGGCTGGGCGAGCTAACCTACAACATATCCTCAAGCCACCTCGGCTTGTTATCAGCTCGCAGCAATTCGATATTTCTGATGATGTAACCTTTGTGCCTGGCATGGCTGCCCGTACTGATGATGGCGGAGAGCCCTTGGCTATCGCCGACGTCAATGGTGCCAACGATAAAGAGGTACGGGTTTCGATTAGCGGTCAACAGACTAGCATCAAGCAGAGAGTGAAAAGCACAGGATGGAAGTTTTCTGACCTGTCAGGCGCCGCATATAAGTGGATAGTTCAAACAAGGAGACAGGCTGGCAGCTGCATGACCGTCGAGGGAATGCAGTTGCTGGTTTTCGATGGCAACCAGTTTTGGTACTGCGGCTACGCAAATTTAACCATAGACGAGAATGTTAGCGAAGAGCTACGCCTGCTTGCACTGCTTTCCTGGGCTCTAAGTGCGATAACTACCTTTGGCAGCAGGCCTGGTAATGGCTCCAAGGCCAGGGTATCTACCACAGTACTGGACATATTGTCGAATACACCGCATCATGAGCACCAAAAATGTTCTAACCGGATTTCTATTAAGCTGGCTGTGGAGTGATTCTAACTCGAGTGCAACGGGAACAGGATGCTTGAGTACTTATTAGTCTGCTACATACTTCAATACCATTCACATTCAAAAACAATGCACAGTCGGAAGGATGGAACAGTGGCGCAGGTGCCTGCCTGCTGGCTGGGCGCCAAGACGCACTGTCATGTTACTCCGCTGTGAGATCTGGAGATATGCAGCGGCCTCTCCCGGATTCCGATTTATTACGCTTTGACAGGCGATCACGGTGACCTGCAGTTGAAAATGTGCCACAAAGAAACGGCTTTGTGGACCGGTCATAATGCGGTCCATGGAACATCTCTGGGATCTTCGGGAGGTGGGGAAATCACAGGCTGGGGGCGTTACCCCTTCTTTTGCTCCTTTCCCTGCCTTGTGCACCAGTATCCCCCATTTCTGTTCCTCAGTTCTTCACCTCATCCTTAATACACCCTCATCACTTTCACCCATGTCAGCCATACATGAGTATACGCTGATAGAGAACGGGACATTCAGTGCGTTGGCGTCTACCCGGGAGTACACAAAAGCAGCTCACATGCAGAGAGTACCACCACACCGTGCTACACAGTCGTATGCCAAACACTGCCAGTATATTTGTACCAGGGGAGCACACGTTCCGGTGACCATGCAGAATACGAGGCACACCCGGTGCTGCTATCGCATGTGGCAGATATCCATGGGCCAGGGTTCGACGGGTGGTTCCAGGCAACCTCAAAGCACTACGAGTTTATTGATCTGCGGGGGCGGCTCCTGAAGTGGAGCGTGAGGCTACTGTCGCGGACATGGAAGTTGACAGACCAGCAGGGCGAGATCGTTGCGTACTTCCGGCGGGTGGGCCGAGCCTGCGGCGTATTGGAACTGTGGAAATTGTGCGGGCTGAGGATCTGGCTCAGCTACCGCTGATAATCCTGTCGTGGCGGCTCGTGGAACTGCATAGGTACATGAACGACCGGTCCGTGAAGGTGTGGGCGACAACAGATCCCGCTGCAGAAGGACACCAACGAACAGGAGATCAGTGGGGTGGGGCCAGTTTATGTAGAAGAGCAGGAGAAGCGCTGGGTTTGGCCGAATTTTGTAGTAATTTTCAATTCCTCTGGAGGTTCCACGTAGAAACTCTTTTTTGCATGTTTTATTTCTCCAAAAACCAATCGAAACTTCGAGGTAAGAAGGAGTGGTGGCAAATCAAAAGTGTACTCCAACGAATACAAAAGCTGGGCATAATCGTAATTATGACATGACACATGTGGTAATCGTTCAACCTGGAACAGGAGTGAAATCAAATGTGTATATGCGATTTAGGGCATGCACTGGTTTAAGGTTGCATTGCCAGGGCATTGGGGGGTTTTTGGTACCATGTCTAATAATGCTGTAATGTATTTATTTGATTCATACTTCTGAGATGAGTGGCAAGATTGGACAAATTATACACGAATGAGGCTCTTAGATGGATCCAGAAAGAATGCATGCAGCGGCAACAGCCACAGCGCACGCAGCCACCGACCTGCCCACATTGCCCGTATTGGCGTGGAGGTCCCCGGGCGTCTCTGCTGATTCCTCCTGCTGCGTGGAGAGACTATCGGTGCGCAGCTCAGCGCTCCGGGAAGGCGATGACACAGACTGGCCCAGGATGCACGCCAGATGGAGCAGGGTTGGGGGATACTTCCTGGCCAAAGTTGAACAGGCTCGACATACGCTCTAGAATTGACGCTGGAATGGTCTGCGATTGACGAAGCAGAGTCCTGGACAGCTGTGGGCTGGCTCTGGGGTTGGGTGGTGCCGGTGGGCTGTTGCAGATTGGTGTTGGGCCTGCTTCCAGGCTGCTGGCTAGTGTCATTGGGTTGCTGCTGACCAGGGCTACCAAATGGCGGCTGTCTGCTACCAGAGGGCTGTTGGAAATCTCCAGCAGAAAGCAGGGACTGGCCGTTGCCGTCAAATGGGAACAGCCCGGCAGCATCGCCAGGATCAGAAATCGGCTGCTGGGCACTGGTGTCAAATGGTGGCTGTCCGGCGCCATCGCCCTGGAGAGATCCTGGGATGACAGCACTATTGCCAGAAGGATCTGTGGCGATCTGGCGCTGGCTCAATGACAATGCGACTGGGGAGAAGTAGACAAGGGAGAGCAGAGTGGCGGGGCATTTCATTTCCTGTATTGCAAGTGGGATTCAAGGGGATGCGTGGCCGAATGCAAATAAGTCTAATGGGGAATTGGATTGCAGCTTGTGTAAGGCAATGTAGGAACGGTGGGGAGAGGATATACAGGCGCACCCTCTTTTATTTGCAGCATGGACGGACGGGGAGGATCCTGGAGCCAGTATAGTGCGTGGAGAGGCTGGATTGTCCATGATGATGAGCAGTAGCGGGTGATGCATCTCAGAAACAACAACCGGCCAGCCTCGCAAGCGTGATGAAAGGGATAGATATCAGCAGCAGCAGGCGCGGGAGATCTGGGGAGGGATCACAATGGATTCGGGAACTCGGATCCTGGAATGCACGAAAACGAGTCGGGTTGGCGCAGGTAGGCTCATGGGCCGAGGCTCACGTGGCCTGCGGACAAGGCGCAGTCCCGAACTGAAAAATTGGGGTGCGTGGAGGATCACCCGGGGAGGAGCTGCATTGAGCGCTGGAAAAAGCCTAAAACAGAGCGCGCTGACTGGCTGAGAGATCAAGCCGTAGAGGCGTGGTGCCAGCGCTGACATGGTGGGGAGGCTGATCCTGCTGGCGAAAAAAGACAAAGACAAAGGAAATGCGCGACGGCGCGATGGAGGGGAAGCCAGGTTTGGGCATGCATGGCTGGGCTTGCATGCGAATTGAATGGCAATTGCGCGCAGAGGGGTTGAAAAGGGCTGGGGATCGCCATGGACACATAAATGCGCAAAGGCTCCTTCCCACTCCAGAGCCAGGCAGGCTGACACGGCAATATAGAGCGCGGGGCCGGTGGGTGGGCAGAGAATGACAGAGTTTCTCGCAGCTGTCTGTCCGCACGCCAAGGGGGCGCTTGTAGACTAGTGCAGCGGCTGGCGTGCGGAGAGGGGCCAGAAAAGGGATAAAAGGCTAGCGTCTATTGTGCGTGCTACATTCCAGGAACCAGCAAAAAAGTCAGGTCCTCTCTTTATTCCGCTCAAATTATAAAAATACACAAAACTTTCTCGCACCCTTTCACTTCTCTTAATCCCCTCTTCGCATTGCACCTTTCCCAAGGTGTTTTATTATTTCTCTTAACGCTACGACCTTTTTACGCACACCCGATATCTATTTTATTCGTATTCAGTCTGTATGTACATGCGCAAAACAACACCCACAACGCACCGGCGCGGACTGACACCACGGGTGCTGGAGCTGAGCCGGCAGCTCAATGGTATTGAGTTCAAAGAGCCGGTGGGCAGCGAGGAGGCAGTGGGGAGTCCGCGGGTACCGTCGGCATACAGGGCCTCGCCTCCGGTGAGCCACGACAGCGGGCTGCGGCTGCGCGAGCGGCTGCGAGTACCAGTCAGCGAGCCTGGGGATCTACGGGGGCTGGAGCTGGTGGAGCCGGCGCGCGTGGACACAACGTACCGGGGAGGCGGCCGAGTCGTCGGACTACCGGCAGCGGCGGCGAGGTGGCGACTCGATCGGGTCTGACATAAGCTCGGTGGAGCAAGCGCTAGAGGGGCGGACGATCACGATCCCGCCGTTTCTGGCAACGCTGGGGGCGGGCGAGGGCGAGCCGGCGGAGCGGGCGCCGCTGCTGGCAGAGACGCGCAAGCTGGCGGCATTGCAGCGGCGGGTGCATGAGAGCTGGAGCGAGGTGGGCGCGTCGATGCGGGCGGTGCGGGTGCTGGTGGTGAGCAACGGCGGGCTGCCGGCGGTAGACCAGCAGGCGCGTGGGCGGCTGTGGCTGGCGATGCTGGAGGTGCGGGCGACGGGTGTCGAGGGCTACGAGCGAGCGCTGGGGCTGTGCCCGTCGGCGTGTGCGGGTAAAATCAACAACGACGCGTTCCGCACGCTGGCAGGCGACAGCGAGTTCCGCAAGACCGTCACCACTGAGTCGGTGGTCCGGGTGCTGAATGCGCTGCTGAGCGCCCCGGGTAAGTGAATAGTGCAGGCGGGGGCAGGGCGGTCTATTGGACCGGGGGGATGTAGTGTGGGCGGAGTTTGCGTAATTGCTAGGCGCCTCCCCATGCGGGCTTCTCTGAAGCAGCCTGCAACCATCGATACTACACTGAAAGCTGAGTTTGTTTATCTTTTTTACCCTCGTAGATCGGTCAGCCAGCGATCCCCCGCGGTATGTGCAGGGCATGAACACACTATTGGCACCGTTCCTGTATGTGATGGACGAGAGCGCTGCGTTCTATGCGTTCCGCCAGTTTCTTCGCAACGAGTGTCCGCTTTACGCGCGGCCGTCGCTGCCGGGCGTCCATGCGTGTGTGCAGCTGGTGGACGAGTGCCTGGCGTTTGTGGACCCACAGCTGTACTCGCATCTGCGGCGACACGGCGCAGTGGCCAAAATCTACGCGTTCCCAGCAGCGATGACGCTGAGCGCCAATGTGGGTCCGCTGCGCCAGGTCGTGCGGCTGTGGGACTTTCTGCTGGCGTTCGGTGTGCATCTGAACGTGGTCTGCATCGTGGCCCAGCTGCTGTCGATGCGTGAGCTCCTGGCCACGACGACCTCGCCGATGCTGTTCCTGCGGTCGTTTCCGCCGCTGCGGGCTGCGAGTGTGATCCGCCGCACGCGCGAGCTGTACGAGCTTCTGCCGGAGCCGCTGCGGCGCCGCATCAAGCGCCATGCCCACGACCCGGCGCTGGCCGAGCTTCTGGCCGGAGCCCCGCCGGTGGCCGACCCGGCGGAGAGCTCTCTGAAGCGCGACCACTCGCCGCAGCTGGGCAGCCCCTGCAACAGCAATGCCAGCAGCCGCAAGTCGAGCGGGTCGGGGCGCCCGCGTGCCAAGACGTTTACCAGCGGCCAGAAGCGCATCCGGACGACGGGGGCATATGGCGAGCTGGGGCTGGGCATTGCGAGGCCCGCGCAGCCGCATGTTGGGTCGGTGAATGCCCGGCGCGGGAAGCGGCTGGTGGCGGGCTCCGAGGCCCTGTGGCTGCTGGAGCGCCGTCTGTCGGCCGAGTTCGAACCCCCCCGCGTTGTGGAGGGCGAGCAGTGACTTTTGTGGTGGTTTCGGATGGTCTTTCCGAGAGTTGGCTGGCTGCGATGTGGGGCCCCACACGCAGCTACTCCAGCCCTCTCCTCGGCATTGCTCCCATCCCGGCGATTTGGCCACCGGTTTTTTCAACCCATGTATTGGCTGCACATGGCCTGATCTTGATTGGATCCTCCCCCACATCTCCCTTGGTTTCTTTTGTCGTATGTGGCCGATCTTTCTTTCCTCCTCGCGGCTTGGTGGTCTTGCAGCCATTATGCATTGCGAAAATTTGTAAACCTAGAAGCTCCTCTTTCCTTTTTCCTCCTCACCTCTTTTATTGCATTTTTGTTTTCTAAAAATACGGCGTTTTTATTATCATTATTCCCCGTCCGCCTTCAATTCGTGCTAATTTAACGACCTCTGCACACCCAAAAACACCTGGCCTTTTACTTGTTTTGTGCATTATGACAACCTTTGAGAGCATTCCAGTAACAGCAACCTCTCGCCGCAAAGGTAACAACACTGCCTCCACGCTGCTTGCCAGCCTTCCATTGCTAGTCTTCCATTGCCAGCAGCATGCAGAAAACACCCTAGCATACACCTCACCCACCCGCATTTGTTGCTATAGAAATGAGCTATCGCCCGGTCAGCGGCCTGTCGGATGTTGATAGCATAGCCAGCGATGCCGACGACGAGGATGCGTTATTCGGGCCCGCGTCCAATGCAGAGTTTCGCAGAATGCAGGCCCACGACGAGCACCGCCGGAGGACCCAGGTGTTGATGCTATTGCCGCTGGACGACGTATACTTCAACACCCCAGAGCACGAGGTACGCCGTTCTGCTATTTCCTATTCCAGACATCCTCCCACCCGCACTTTCTCTATTCATTACAGCTTTTCACAATCACCAGCAGAGCGACTATTGTCGCCTGTGGGTTTTTATTTTCTCGCTCACATACCTTTTGTGTTCTCTGACTGCTGATTGTTGCCACCACCGCTTTTCTTTCTCTCTCTCTCTCTCTCTCTCTCTTGTAGGCGAGCGCAGTCAAGCTACAAGCGTGGTGGAGGAGCATAATGGCCCAGAGACAGTACATGCGCATGCGCAGCAGCGCTTTATTAATACAGCGGATCGCCCGTGGTGCGCTTGCACGTCGCACATTCCGCCGCCGCCGCCACGAATTGCAGCAGCTGGCATTCAAGGGCTCGGTCAGTGCGCGTCGCCGCAAGGACCAGGGGTGGGTGCCACCGCCACTGGCCTATTCGCGGTCCGAGCCGCCATTGTCGCGGTCCGAGCCAATGATCTCCTCACCACCGGCCTTCGCCGCCTCCAACGCATCTGCCGCTACAATCGAGACCACCAAGGTCCGTCGCGGCCGGTCCATTCGCAACTGGTTCCAGCGGTCATCGCCACCTAGCGACACCAGCGACAATGCCCGCCCAATTCACAACAGCAACCACCATCACCATCCACAGGTAAATACCACACACCACCGGTCATCCACAAATCGCGCCACGCGATTGATTTCCCGCATCTTCTCCACACTAACTCCCAGCAGGCGCTCCTCCGCCAACCATGCTGCCACCACTGTCAATATTGTTGTTCATGCCGCTGCCGAGGCCGCCGCCACTGTGCTTGACCGCCCCGCCTCCCGGCCCATTTCCAAACAGCAGAAGAAGCACCTGAAACGTGCCCGCCGCTACCTGCTGCTCTTGGGCACGCGCCTGGCTGCGCTGTCGCCGCGCAGCCAGCGCAGCATGGTTGTGTGCTCGGCTGCCGGCGGCATGTTAAGCCAGTCACTTTTGTCAGTCAATGATCCTTCCTTGGTGTCAATCAGCAGCAGCCCGCGCCTGAGCATCCATCTGTCCAAAGACACCCTCCATTTGCACCACTCCCAATCTACCCAGCTCTTCCCCGCATCCACAACCACCATTCCACTCTCCACCCTATTAACCCAACCACCAAATTCCACCCCACAGCAGCCCGACACCGACCCGCCAGCGTCTCCGACGACACTCAAGCCCAAACGCTCGATTCTCCGCGCCAAAATCGGCCTACTGGGCAGGCAGTCGCCAAGATCGCCGGAACATGCACCTATGAGTGCCCCTGCGGAACGCGTCCCGATGGTCACTGCGCGTGTCTACCCGGTCGTCGAAATCGACAAGCGGTCGGAGGAAATCAGCCTGCCACAATCCCCACCAATGTCTATACGGTCTGTGCAGGCTGCCGCAAAGCCCCACATGATGCCACCGGTCCACCAGCCAACCGACCACAACGACATGCATTCCGGAAACTCTGCACGGCCACTGCACGTCCATGGATTCCAGAAGACTCGGGCGCAGCCGCCAATAGAGCCAGTCCATAGCACGCAGTCGGACGAGGACCCGCTGGAGCAAGGCAGCAGCAGGATCGCCGTCGACAGCAGCGAGGAGAGCGAGACATGTAACGCAACCCACGGCACCACAGTGGACTCGTCGATGCCGTTCATTCCGTTAAAGTCCAGCACACCAAATGTAGAAGCAGCTGATATGGCAGACAAGTCGGAGGACGATGACATGCCGTTGGGCGATCTTGCACGCAGCAGCAACGAGTCCAGCGCGGTATCGCCCATGGCCATCGACGAGGAGTCGGCAGAGAATGGCCCAGAGACGCCTGTCCGGCAGGCACGCAAAATAACCGATGCCAATCTGGTCAGCGACATTGATTTCAAAGACAGCCCGGCCACTGCCTCGCCGACAATCGCGCATATCGACAGCCTGTTCCAGATGGCCGACGAAAACATGGCCGCTGCGCAGCAGGTGCAAATGAAGCACGATGGCGAGGAGCTTTCGCCGCGGCTGTCACTGCGGCTATCGGCCAATGCATCGACGTTCAACAATTTCAACATCTCTGCCTTTGCGCCTTCCACTGAACCCATTATTGAGAGCGCCGAGGCTTCGCTGCAAGACTCTGAGGACAGCCCGCGCGCCGCCCTGCGTCCACAGTCGACCCAGAACCCAAATCCGCAGAGAACGACACGAACAGCATGGCATCAGTAGCATCGAAGCCAGTGGACGCAGAGGAGAACCAGGAGGAAATAGAGGAGACCCCGGCGCTGGCACGGCTGCGGTCGCTGCGGGCACGTCGTCTGGGCCAGGCAGTCACCACAAGCACAGCAGCTGATCCAGAGACTTCCGGCAGCCGGCGGTTCCGTGCCACACAGACCCTGCCAAAGGCCAAGCACGTGGCCCAGAAGCCGCTGTCGAAAATGGGGCCCCTGCAGCTGGACCGGCTGACGAAACTCAACACCAGGCGCAACTCGACGTACCTTACATGCAAGATCGAGAAATACACTGTCGAAAAGGAAGGCGACCGGCCGCCGTCACCCTCGTCGATGATGCAGGAGCGCGCGCTGCTGCGACGTGTGGCACGCGGTGAGATCAACGAGGACGGCGACTATGTTTATGCCAGCGGCTTGGACGACGACGACTCGGCGAGCGACGTGTCCATGGCCAGCGCAGAGCTGCCAGACGACACAGTGGGACTGGGCGTGGCCAATCTGCCGGTTGCCGCCAATGCCGCGATCCACGAGCTGGTTGAGACCCGCCCATTGACGCCCGCCGACGACCTGTCCGACACTGACATGGCAGCTATGCCGGGCTCCGGCAGGGCATTACTGGAGGGGTTCCAAGAGGCTGGATCTGTGGAACCCAGCGACAGCAGCGATGCACATGACGGCAGCAAGCGCAAATCAATCGAACTGCCGCGTCTACCGTCAGTCGATGTGGGCAGCAAGAAGCAGCGCCGGCGACAGCGCATCCAGTGGGGAAGCTGCGATACCCTCACGGCCACACGTCTGCTCGGCCGCCTGCCGGTACCCAATGCCCTAGGCGAGTACGCGGGAATGCCCGGCAAGCCCATCTTATTGCGCGACGTGCCCGTCCCCGACGACCCCGAGACCAACCAGCCCTCGAGCAAGCGTGTGCCTGCCAGCAATAACCTGAAAATCGTCCGTGTCGCCTGCATCACATATCCAAATAGCACCAACCCCGAGGAATTTGACTCGGACGAGTCCGACGAGGACCTCATGGATGACGACGAAGAGTATGTGCCGAGGCGATCGGCGAGCCGCAAAAAATAGCATACTTTTTAAATACCTTAGACCATTGAGATAATATTTATTTTCATTCACTCGGAGATATGGTAGCTGAGCTCTTGGGCGTCGGCCAGTATGTCGCCGATCCGCGCCTGTGCATCCTGCACCTGTGGGTGGGAGGCCCGGACCTGGTGGACGGTAGTGACCAGCGCATCGAGGTTCTGCATGCATGCAGTGCTGAGCGCCGGGCCCGCGAGCACTTCCTTGCCCACCGCCTCCACATGTCTAGCACCGAGCTCCCTGATGCTCTTCATATCGGGCTCGCCTCCCTTCAAGTCCTCGAGTATCTGATCAAACGAAAGTGGCATACTGAGTGGAATTTAGCATTACGCCTCCTAAATAACTACTATTCACACGCAAAAATTATCCGCAGACCGCCGCCCAGTAAAGCTATTACGGGCAACGCAAACCTCATATCTCGTAGTTGCGGAACCGCTCATACAGATCCGGCACGCGGTTCCCCTGCTCGCGCCACTCCCACCACTGGCGGGCGCTGCTATCGGAGATTGCGCGCTGGCCACTGAAGCTCCAGTGCACCGCATGTGCCTGCGCCGTCTGTCTGTATTTCTCAAACGGCACCGGCACCCTGCTGGCGCGCCAGCGGTCGTACAGCGCGCGCTGCTTTTCGTCGCCTAGAACCTCGTGGGCTGCGCGGATCTTCTCCCAGAGCGCGGATTTCTCGGTCTTGTCCGGATGGTGTCGTTTGGCCAGCTTGTAGTACTGTGTATGGATGTCAGCAAGCGAGGAGTGTGGGGCACACTCGAGGATGTCGTAAAAATCTAAATCATCCATTATTATTTTATAGCGAGGCAAAAAGTGGGAGTGCTGTTAACGTGCAGGCTGTAAAGCGGTAAGAGGGGTTTTGCTAATGCAAGGCGGAGTGCAGTTCACGAGGCGTAAATATGCGGCACGTGGGAAAAAATTATGCCATTTTTTCTTTTCCTGCTGTGCTTGCGGGGGTGCGGCATTTCCAGGCCTATTCTTGCAGAGAGGCGCGGTGATTGCATTTGCGTTGGCGCGCGTTTGATTAGATTACCCCTTGCACTGATGCATGTAGCAGACATTCCCTCATGTACCTTGGCCCCATGGCCAACATTCAGACAAACGAGTGTTTATCGGCATGTATTGAGGAAGGTACCTGTAGAGCCAACTGAGGGGGAAAGTGGACTGTCGGGCGCTTGGGCCTTTTTATCTGTAGTCAATCTTGAGCATGGTAGCACAGGGCGGCACTTGCGGCCTAATGCCAGCACCCATGACCATGAGGGTATCTAGGGTCGGCTGTTGGTGTGCTAGAGAGTTGCCAGGCAGGTGGACCTTTGCCTCGGGTAGTCCCTTTTTTTGAACCACTGCAGTACTCTGCTGGTCAATTTTTACCGATAGCAGTGGCTACTATGGCTGCTGTAGAGCCAGGTGCAGCCGCATCTGCTACACACGCGGTTGTACAGGTGACCCTCGATCGTCGCCTGGGCAACACGATATTTTGGCACGATAACGCATGCCAAGAGGTGGGCGATCGTCCTGGAAGGTATCGTTGGAAAAAAGAATGCAGCACCATGGAGAATCGTCACACGAAACCTGGCACCTGGTTTTATTCTACCTACGCATTCTTCGCTATGCCTTGCAAGGCCACTATAAAACAGCGCTCTTGCAACCACAGGCCACCACTTCTCCCATCTTTCTTCATACCATCGATAACTAGTCTTTTAATTATGAGCAGCCAAGCATATAGTATTTTCAAACGCAAGGGGTCAAAGGGCTGGCACGTCTTTGACGGCCACGTGGACACCGTGGCGCAAGCTCGGATGTATGGCCAGCTCTGCTACACGCTGGGCTCGGAGCCACCAAGATCACGCTCTCCACCGCCATAGCAGACTTTGATGATGGCGAGTGCACTCTGTTCGACACCACCACCATTCCCCTATCATTGACCGGCCAAGAGCTTCTGGTAGCTAACTCTGATGCATTCGTCACCAGCTTTGCTATCATCCACGGGCCGAACACACGGATTGAAGCAAACAAGCGCGTCAAGGGCATGGGCTGGAAGTTCACTGATGCATCAGACACAAAATACAAGTGGGCGGTCGATATGCGCACAATGAAGTGGGAGTTGCAAAACAGCAGAGGCACTGTAGCGACTTTCAGCGCTGGGCTCTTTGATACTCAGGGGGTTGGGCATTTATCAGTAGAGCCAGGTGTTGATCGGGAGATGATCGAGGTTGTTTTGATCACATGGGGTTTGGTGGCTAGGAGTGTTATGTACCGTGAGGCGATGGAGAAGTTGAAATATTCTACGTTTGATGGCGATATTCCAGGTTTTTAGGCACTCCTCCGCAACCAGTGTCACAGAGTGCCTATTCAAATCGGTTTGTCTGTGTCTGTGCCACACTTTGATTTAATATATTAAATAGATGTGATCACAATTAATTTAGTATTATTTACAGTTGTTGTGCTCAATGAATATGTGGAGACTTTAAAGGATCATTTTAGTACTGAAGCGAGAAAAGGGAATAGCCTCTGATAAGCTGCACAGACGGCTGTATTGAAAATACCCCTGCGCAAACTCATCAAGATGCTACCTCTATAGTGTAGGTTGTAGTGGAGCTCATATTAGTGGCTGGCTTACTGTCACCTGATTTGGTTGATGTATTGATATCAGGGATAGCTGCAGTAGGTATATAACACAGTCTTTAGTTGCCTATATTGGAAACCATTAATAGATATAATAGTTCAAAGGAACTAAAATTTTAATTAGCATAACTAAATAATAAATAGGAAATTATCTACTACTAACTAATAAAATAATAAAATCCAAATTATTGAGGGTTATTCTTAGATATAAATTTTAGTAATTTGTAATTTAGTTATTAGAATAATTATTTTCAGCATAATTATTTTTCTACTAAATATTTTCAGTATAGTTATTATTAATTATTATATCTAGAATGTTTCTATACTTAGAAATGATTACTAACTAGAAAGAAAAAACTTGTATATTTAGGGTTAATTACCTAGTTTAGTAACCATGAATAACCCTCTATTAGTTCATAGTATAATGGCTAGGGTCTAGTAGTTTGGCTGCCAGTTAGTAAGTATTACTACAGTAGCAATTAGGGGGATATGCTTTATCTATATATATTTATTACTAGTATATATATGGAGTAGATCACCAGCATAATTACACTATACTTCAGTGACAATTCTATACACTATGTTCTTACTTATAATATCAGTATTGACTTGCACAAAATAGAGAGCAGCAGAGGCAGATATAGGCATTGCTTAGTGACTACAGGCTACAAATGACCAGGCTAAGGAACAGCTATTCTACCTATACTGGTACCAGAATTAATTACATATTTATGACCTTATCAAATGCAGAGGCTGGTGCTTATGCTACAGTCTCAAAGTTTCCACTATCCACTCTGGCTTTGTATAAACTTATGCAATGAGACTTTAATGCCTTAGATCATTAAATGACAGATATTAGTCTATAATACCACTTGGCCATTTATCAATAATATAACGAGCCTACTTGTAATGGTAAGAAGAATATCTAAAGTACAAAGTGGAAGGTAATAGAAGTAAAGAAATATATGTACGAAATAATGGCTGGATGATTTACAATTATCACATCGTTGCGCACCCGCTGCGGTTGTCCCTGACGTTGACATGTCAGCCGAAGTCAGGTGACAGCAAGCCAGGCCACCAACGAGAGCCCTGCTACAGCCTACAATATGGAGGCAGAGTCTAGCCTCTGATAAGTTGCACAGACGGCCAATATTGAAAACTCCTCTGCGCAACTCGTCTATTCGCTTTTCTCTGTTTTCTTCAGTATTGAATATAACTTTTAAAATCCCCACACATTCAACATAACATAACTGCCGAACTGCCAATGCAACTATATAGAATTCGCCGATCAATTGATAATGATGGGATTAGCAAAAGGGGATTGATGTGTTTGTATTTTGAGTAAAAGAATAAACCTGTGGAAACAATCTGTATCTCTGTCACATACGGCCTTTTATCTGTGCGTCCTGGGGTGTGCTTTGTTCCCTCGTGGCTAGTCTCACGTGCCATACACTACAGGATTGTCGAGGGGAGTGCCTAATCGCGTCTCGCTTTGCAAGACGCATTAAGCTGCAACCTCAGCTACGGCTTTTTTTTTTGAACCACTGCAGTACTCTGCTGGTCAATTTTTACCGATAGCAGTGGCTACTATGGCTGCTGTAGAGCCAGGTGCAGCCGCATCTGCTACACACGCGGTTGTACAGGTGACCCTCGATCGTCGCCTGGGCAACACGATATTTGGCACGATAACGCATGCCAAGAGGTGGGTGATCGTCCTGGAAGGTATCGTTGGAAAAAAGAATGCAGCACCACGGAGAATCATCACACAAAATCTTGCATCTGGTTTTATTCTA